CGCCCGCACCATCAATGAGGTAGAGAACCAGATCCTCACCCGAGATGCCAAGGGTATCAGCCAGGAGCAGATGCAAGAATTCCGGGCATCCTTCAACCACTTTGACAAGGTAAGTTCCCTTCCCACTCCCAACCTCTAAAGCTGGTGCAATGTGACCTTTCTTCCCGTTGTTATGCCCTGTCGTACCCTCTCCATCTCCATCCATCCATCCATCCATCCATCCATCCATCCATCCATCCGCCACTGTCTACAGGGTAGGCAGGACCCTTGCTTTGCTCTGAGAGGGTGTGGCATTGCACACAAGGTCAGATGGGCAGGCCCTGCCCTCCAGGCAGAATCCTTGTCAGTCTGACCTAGGACTTGGTCCCCACATGCAATGTTTTTAAAATTTGGATCCAGATTACCATTTGACCCAGTACCACAGCTGCTCAGCTTCTGTGGGTACCAGTGTGCAGTCTCTTGTGTGCTCTGTCTTTGAGCCCTGGACAACTTAGTCCTTCATGGTACCCACTCTAGCCCCACTGAGGCAGTCCCTGGCCACCCCCCTGTCTGCATCATCGCTAACTGTGTGTTTCCCTTCCCCATGTGTCCTCCTCCCCTGCCCACTGCATGTGGCCTGGCCCCTCTGCCACTTCTGTGGCCTGGTCTCTGCACTGCCCCTGTACCTGTACCTGTACTCCTGCCTTTCCTGGCCCCCGGCAGGACCATGTCGGGGCACTGGGGCCTGAGGAATTCAAGGCCTGCCTCATCAGTCTGGGCTACGATGTGGAGAACGACCGGCAGGTACGAGAACCCTTGGGCCCCTGCAGGCTGTGGCATTAACTGCTCTTCTCTTTCTCTTCTCTTCCCTCCCTTCTGCCATCCCCCCTGCCATCATGCGCTGTCTGTCTCCTGGCTCTCTTGCCCCCTCCTCACGTCTCTGGACACTTTGCCCTTACCTGTTCTCCCTGCTCCCTCCACTGTGCTCTCTGTCCGCTGTGCACATGGGGCCTGCTCTGGGCCTGGCCTCTGCTATGCCTGCGTCCTGGGAGCAGAAGCAGACAGGCAGCATGGACTCAGATGACTTCAGGGCTCTGCTTATCTCCACAGGATACAGCCTGGTATCCAGCCTCTGCCTCCCCTGCCTCTGCTCCTCCCCCAGCCCCTCGCTGCCTCCTGAGCTCCCATATCTTCCTGGGGCTACTCCTCCACCCTCCAGTGCACCCCCTCCTCTGCTGCACTCGAGGGGCTGGGGTCCTTCCAGTGACCCCCAACCTCCCTCTTCCTACAAGTATCCAGGGAACAGTCTTGCAGCTCTCCCCCTCCTTTCTGTTTCTTTGTTTTCTTTCCCTGCCTGCCAGAGCTGGGACAATGGACCCAAACCCCTGTTTCCCAAAACTTGGGGGGAGGAGGCCAAGGGGCAAACTCCCAGGGCCTGGTGCTATCTGGCCAGACTGGCCAACAGGCTGATGACACAGCCTTTCTGCCCTTGCATTCTTCCAAAACCAAAGTTATAAGCAGCCCCACTAAGTCCTGTGTCCCCTCCCTGCCCCCTCCACAGGGCGATGCTGAGTTCAACCGAATCATGAGTGTGGTCGACCCCAACCATAGCGGCCTCGTGACCTTCCAAGCCTTCATTGACTTCATGTCAAGAGAGACCACAGACACAGACACAGCCGATCAGGTCATTGCCTCCTTCAAGGTCCTGGCAGGCGACAAGGTAAGCGAGACCCTACATTAGCACTGGGGCCAGTGGCGGAAGCCCCAGCCAGCACTGGGCACTAGGGCGGGAGGTGGGACGGGTGGTTCAGAGTCTGCCCTGTGTGTGTGTGCCTCCAGAACTTCATCACTGCCGAGGAGCTGCGGAGAGAGCTGCCCCCCGACCAGGCCGAGTACTGCATCGCCCGCATGGCGCCCTACCAGGGCCCTGATGCCGCTCCTGGTGCCCTCGACTACAAGTCCTTCTCCACAGCCCTCTATGGGGAAAGTGACCTGTGAGGCCCTCAGACACCCTGGTCAGACTCCCTCAGCCTCCCGGAGGGGCTGAGGAGCCCTGCCCCAACCCTGACTCTGTATCTATGCAAAGAGCTCTTTGTGGTCCTTCTAAGGGGGTCAGGCAGGAAGGGGCTAGGCAGGCCTCTCTTTCTCAGTCTTGCAGGGGAGGGAGGCTTAGAGATCAGCACTTCTGGTCTGCTAAATATATACATGATGCTAAATATATATGATGTGTTGTGGGTTTTTAACCTGTATGCAGGGGACAACGGACCCTGGGGCACCCTCTGTGTCCTAGAGACACCTTTCCAAACCCGGGTCCCCTCCTTTGCCCCTGAGGCCCCTTCAGGGCCTCTCACATCCAGGCCAAAGCCCCATGTGCCTTGTCCAGGGACCACCTGCCCTGCAGAGTCCAGCAGAGGGCACCCCAGCTCCCCTGCACCAGACGCCAGTGGCCCCTTTCGCCCACGTCCCTGCCTGCCCCTTTGTTGATTACCAGGAGCAGAGGACCCTGTTATCCCCCCCTCTGCCTCAAGAGTGCTGCTGGGGCAGCCAGCCCCAGCCCATCTGGCCTCCTTTCATCTGGGCTCTAGGTCTCAGATTTTCTAAGGACCAAAACCAACAAAAACACAAAGAATGGAACAGAAACAAAACATCTTTAAAAACTTATTAAAAAAAAATCCTATAAAAATGAAAACCTCCCAGAGAATTACTATTTCCTTTATTAACTTACGGATTTATTCTATAAATATATATCCATCTAGCTGCATATCTCCGCCACCTCTCTTTCACTCGTAATGAAGACATAGTTGATTCAGTGCCCTCCCAGCCCCTCCTGACCCTCCCCTTGTTTGCGGTGGGCAGGGGTCTCTGGGGACCTCCTGAGGTGGAGGTGGGCTGCTGGCCTGCCTGCCTGGTAGTGAGTGGATGGGTTTCTCCCTTTGAGTTTATTCTGATTGATTTTTATTTTCTTGGTTTCTGGATAAACCGCCCTTTGGGGATGGGAGAATAAAACATGTAATATTTTTCAGAAGGATTCTAGTGTCATCTTATTCTCCCCGCGTCATTGTTCACACCCCAGGAAGCTTGCAGGGCCCACCAGCCCTGTACCCATGTGTGGGCCTCTCTAAGCGGGGACTGGCCCGTTCACAGGCTTTTAAAAGGAAAGAAGGCGCTTCTATTTGTGGTAGCTCAGGTCTATCATCGGGCAGTGCTTGGGAGACCAGCCAGGCCTGCACAGCCAGAGGAGAGCCACCATTGCCACACCACCTGTGCAATAGTAGGTTGAGCCCCAGCCCCAGGCAGGTGCTGGCCCATCTTCTGCTTCCACCGCTGGTGCTCAGCAGGGCAGCTCAGCTCAGGCCTGGGAGCAGGATGGCCTCCCTCGGCTTCTGCCCTAGGAGAAGGTAGCCACCTCCGACCACTGAGTCGAAGGAAGAGAGCACGTTGAAGGAGAGGCTTCAGGATGGTGCTGGGGCCACCCTGTCCCTCCTTGCTAGCTCACCTGCTTGTGGGTTAAGCAGACGACCCCCTCACCACCATCCAGGTGTCGGCTGCAGTGGCCTGTGCATGAGAGGCCAGGGTGAGGACCCAGCATTCGC